TGCTCTGCTATGATTGGTCAGATGGCCTAGTCTGTTGTGATTGGTCAACGCCGGCGTACAGCGAGTGCCGGAGACGATACGCCTATTTCAATAGTTCTGTATTTTGAACGCTCTATAGAAAATATAAAGATCTATAATTTATCATACTTGCAGGTTGTGATTCAGTGGATCAGCTGGTCCAAATAAACAGGATACTGATCCATCTTTCAATATCAAGTGTTTTGTGAATCCCGCGTTGAACTCCCCGAGATTAGAGAAGCAGTCGTCAGTAGAATAATGTGTTTGTGGTCGGGGTCAAGTTGTTTGCAGCCGGCCAACGTAGAACATAGGCGCGCATTATGCGAAAGTGTTACCCCGTGATGTGTAGCCGTCACGGAAGTGGGATTCGAATTACTAACGACTCGTTTCAGCTGTTCAGAGTCGATTCTTTATTTTGGGAGACAATAACTTTATTTATCGTGCATTTTCAGTTTTACAACTTTGCAGATCGTTTACATTCACATACAACTACATTACACACTGCATGAAAGGCAATATTGGAAATGGCATAATAGGGGCACTTTAAGACATATTTAGGCAAGAATGTACTTGTTTGTGACTTCAAATATGTGGTTTGTTAATAAAGATAACGTCTATTTGAACATTTGCTTCAAGGTTTTCAGAGATGTGAGCTCCAGGACATCAGCGGCCTTTCAGCGCTCACGAACCCGCCGAGAGTGCCTCACCTCGGCCAGATCTTTAGATGTCTCTATAGTGGTTAAACATGAGATATATTTTGTTTTGGGTAAATCTAACAGGCAGTCTTTGGTCTCAATAATCTATTATTTATTCCAGAGCAAATAGTTTTGGCTGAGGGCAAAATCTCATCACGTTATAATAACTTCAATGCTGTATATCAGAGCGCTGTCTTTGTACTTTTGACTGAATTGTCAGCAACTTTTATGATGTCTGTTGTTGTTGTTTATTAAATATTATTATTCAATAAATAATATTTTATATAAATAATAGTAGTATTTAATATTAGGAAACAGTGTGTGTGTTCGTAATGGTGATATTAGTTACATTGTTACATGACAAGAGACTGTTTTATGAGTCAGCAGTAAAGACTTATATTGAAAAAGACTGAAACGGAAGTTATTTTTACTTTTAACAACAGCTTGTAAGATGCAACCAACAAATGCACTGAGCAGCGCTGTTAACAGATGAAAGGATAGTACGACAAAGAGACTATCGCTTTCCTCAGCGGACATTCAAACTAATGTTTTACTGTGAATATGAGACTGAGCTGAAGAATGAATGCTGTATCAGATGCAGGTAATCACGATCGCTCAGTCAGTCTCTCTCTCATAATGCTCTACTACACATAATACACTGTTTTTAAAACAGTAATACAATAAGCTTTTAATGAAGCAACTCAACGTTCCTTAGTTACTAGTTCTAAAGTGATGTTTTGGAATCAGTAATGGTGGCTTGGGCTCAGCTGTTAAACTGTCAACTTTAGATTTGAATCCATGCCGGAAAAGAGGACTTTTAAAGACACTTTGTTGTTGTTCCTAATTCATTTACACACTCCTGTCATTGAGCTGTTGTATAAATGCAATATCACACGAGTAGACGTGAGATATGGCTGTATATCGTAGACGTGCCTAAGGCCGAATCACAGTCGTGCCGATATACATTATCTCACGTCTACTCGTGTGATATTGCTCATATATCAATTAAAATTTCTAAACATGTTTTCGTACATTACTCATGGTGTGAGCATTTACATATTTAAGCTGATCAGAAGTTATGAATCTATAATAATAAATACAAATGACAAAGCCACATTTTGGTCAAGTAGTTTATTTTCATTGAGTTTCACTTGCACCATTGTGTCGTTTCTAAGCTAGTAAACAGAAAATTGCGCTCCATTTCGGATCCGTTTTCCACTTCAGTCATGGCAACAGATGGCAGTTCATAACACAGCAAGCATTCACCATTCCAATTCGTTTTTTAACTGTATAATAGGCTATACATTTTAACATCTACCGCCACTATTTCCTAGTCTCTAGCTCCCGTATCCTAAATTCCCAGAATGCATTGCACTGTGACGACACATTCCAGAGCCCTATACAGCGTTTTGACATGTCTACAGCAATTCAAACGATATTTAAAATATTTCTTAATAGTACTAGCAAGTCTGCTATGACAAAGTGTGTTTATTTTATCATTCACACCAAATAACATTTGTATGAAGTCCTCTTTTCATTTAAATTATCTTTGAGTTTTGTAACAATAGTGAACTGTCATTTTAAGTGTCACTATGAAGAGGAAATGACATCTTTGCAATCTCAAGATGTCTTTATGATTTTTTGAAACGGGCTCATCACATAATACAGACATGAAAAACATTTTTTTTTCTCCTGATATTTCTAGAGAAGTCACACTTAAGTCTTTGAATGCCAATGACAAGGCTATAACCATAGCGCCATTTTGGTTTGAAAATGTCCCACCCCATTACATTCCCCCGTCACTTGAAATCCCTGATATTTTTTGTTAATTTAGCTTGGGATGACAATGTGATTCATTACTTTTACATTGCATAGCAGACCTTTCTCGTCGGACAGAATTGCAGAAATGTTCTTAAAAAAAATACCTTTTTAACATGGAGGCGACACCCTTTCACAGAACGCCTAGTTAATGTCTTCGTATTATGAATGAAGGCATGAACAGTAAATGATCCATTTGAGACACTCACTTGAGCACTGCCATCGTGTGGTCATTGATCATAATAGCAACAAGAGACACGAGAATCATAAAACATATCGTCTTTCATGCATCATTTGTAGTTTCATATATCTAAGCTTGCTCACACACATACACACTCGCCATTCTGTCTCCCAACGACTGTTAGATTAGGTTCCACAAGTTACCTCAGGCCACAGAGTGCATTGGTATCGGTACAACACACACACACTACTTGTTGGCGGTGATTGTTTTTGACAGCTCAGAGGCGTAGGAGAGAGCCGGACTGAGGTTGTGACAGCCTCTCTGCTGTCGGATCTTGTGGCAGCATTGATTGCTGGGTAATGGGTGCGGCTCACAGCCATCGACCGGCTGCTGGGCTTCATCCGCCTACAACTCCCTTTGGGCCGAAGGAGGCAGACAGACAGACTTTCCTTTCCTGCTCGTGTCAGATTGTGCTAAGAGAAACAAGGTGACGAGAAAGGATGTATCTCAGTCCTAGAGCTAATCAACAGAGTGCTGGGTACTTCTAAATCTGTGCAAGAATTGATATTTTTGACAAGTGACAAGACTTTCAAACTTGGAAGGTTAAAGGGATAGTTCACCCAAAAATGAAAATTCTGTCATTAATTACTCACCCACATGTCGTTTCAAACCCGTAAGACCTTTGGTTCATCTTCGGAACACAAATTAAGATATTTTTGATAGAATCTGAGAGCTGTCTGACCCTGCATAGACACCAAAACAACGGAAATGTTCCAGAGTCCAGAAACGTAGCAAGGAGGTGGGTAAAATAATCCATGTGACATCAGGGGTTCAACCGTAACTTTACGAAGCTACAAGAATACTTTTGCACACTGGATCGGTTTCCTATGTTGTTGTGATTTGAGCTGAACGGAAACAGCGTATCCGTGTGACGCAGCTGACACAGAACAGCATACACTGTTTACGTCCAACTGATACTTTCCAAAATGGCGCTACAGGGTGATGCGGAGGAGATGAATTGTCGAATAAAGTTTTTTTTTTCTTTTGCGCACAAAAAGTATTCTCGTAGCTTCGTAAAATTACGGTTGAACCCCTGATGTCACATGGATTATTTTACAGATCTCCTTGCTATGCTTCTGGACTTGGGAACATTTCAGTTGCGTTGCTGTCTATGCAGGGTCAGACAGCTCTCAGATTCCATCATAAATATCTTAATTTGTGTTCCGAAGATGAACGAAGGTCTTACGGGTTTGAAACGACATGAGGGTGAGTAATTAATGACAGAATTTTCATTTTTGGGTGAACTAACCCTTTAAGGATATTTGCAGGGAGGAACACTGTAGCAAAGTGAAGGACATTTTTTTTGACAAATTTGTTGAAAAGATTGTGAGAAGTTGACATTTAGTAGCTGTAGTATTTTTGTCTCTTTGTCCAGTAAAAATATCTAAAAACAATATATATATATATAATGTATGTATACACACACACACGTTTTTAGATATTTTTACTGCACAAAGAGACAAAAATACTTCTGATGCACCAATATTAAAAATTCTGAGCAATATAGAATAAGCCAGTAATCATTTATTATAATAAATAGCCAAGATTTTATATTCTATATCCTTTTGTCTGGATAAAAATAGACTAAAAACTGAAATCATTCATTTTTATCCATCATTCTAAAGTCAATTTAGCATTAATGCATAATGTACTAATGTACAGAATCAAAATGAATATTAAGTTTGAGATTTACTAAATATTAAATTATTAGTGTTTTAAAGATCAACTTTAAGTGACCTTTAGACGATGGCAAAGGTAATCTAAAAGCAAAAAATATTGCAAATTAGCATGCACAATTAAATATTTAATATCAATTGATAACCATATGGTACCAATATATTGTGCATCCCTATAATACCAATTAAGGAAATGAATTTTGGTAACACTTTACTATAATTTTCATTTGTTAACATTATTTAATGCATTAAAATCAAATGGATAAAACTTTTGATTTTAAAAAGATATTAGTAAATGTTGAGATTAACAATGATTAAGAGGTATAATAAATGCTGTAGAAGTATAGTTCATTGTTACTTCATGTTGACTAAAGTAAGTAACTAATGAAACTTTATTGTAAAGCGTTACCTGATTTTTTGCAGCGGTAGTCAAAGTCATACACGATGCATCAATTCACATGATATAAATTATTTATTTACATTACATCAAATAAAAACAAACAAAAAACATCACAAGTATATTTACCTATTGGAAATATATAATAGATTACAAAGAGAGCCCTGGAGAGCTCATTTCTTCGATGGTGTCATTGACAACAAATACAAGGCAACATGTGGCACACCTCTCCAGTCATCCATCTATCATCCATCCATCCATCCATCCATCCATCTATCCACAAGCACTTCTCTCTTCCAGATTGTTGCAACCCCAGGGAAGGGCTGTTTTTGGCTGTACGCTCTGACGAAACAGACTGCCTGTTCTCTTTCCCACTGAGTCTGACTCCAGCCTGCAGGCCAGGTGGAAAAACCACTGCAGGCCCGTCCCGTGAGGCTGTCCCCTGTTTGCGTCCTACGGGAATCCAGGGACGATAAGGTTTGCACACTGCCAGGAGTCCCGCCTCAGTTCTTACACACACCCAGCAACACCTGTCTGGAGGGGTGTGTGTTCCCACAATTCCCTGGGGCCTTTTTCTCTGCTGTCTTTAGCACATGTCACACTAAGTTTAAGGGCTCGTCAGATGAGTCTGGTGGAGGCCCGCAGGGTGTTTGCCGAGTTGAAGTGTGGAACGTTTTGTTTCTGCCGTGCTATCCGATTCTCACGTGGACACCTTCTGGAAACACACAAAGAAGGAAGTTTATAGTCCTCATTCTTTGATTTAATAGGGCTTGCCAATTAATTAATCGCAATATGTTTTAGTCTCTTATGATCCAGTCTCAAGAGTGCCTCAGTTTGCAGTAAATGCTGCTCAACATGATTTCATGTCTGCATGTACTTTAAGGTGTAAACTATAATTGATATTAATATATATTGTAATATAATTATTTTCAGGGCAATATTACAATAGTAATAATAATTCTTTATTACATTATATAATTTTTATTTAATAATAACAATAACAATAATAATAACCATCTGTTGTCAACAAAGGAGATGATTAAAGGTTTAAAACATGAAATCATTAAATATTAGTAATATTTACTAATTAGCAATAGTAATATTTCTTATTTTGTTTATTTCTATTTAGTAATAATTTATTATTATTATTATTACTGTCTGTTGTCAATTGAAGAGTGGCTTTAATGTGTACATGTAAACATTACCAACATAATAATAATAATAATAATTGAATATTAACAAACAAGCACCACAAACCAGGAGCTTTTATTTTTATTCTTAACAGAAAAAAAAATTATATTAGATTGTAGACTAGGGCTGTCATGCAATCAAAAAATATGCAATCAAGTTACCAAATAAACTACATGTATATATTGTGCATGTACATGTATCAATATTTTCTGAAAAATCCCCTAAAGCTATAAAGTTACTGACGGGAATGTATTGACTTTAGAAGTCAAATACATTGAAGTAGACGCTACTGATTTATGACCAGACCAAATTTGTTCCTTTTTTAATTAGTTCCATCTTCTTGCTTACAAATATCAGGTTTTACACAGTGAACACAGTAAACAAATCACCTACCAAGTTTTACAGCGTTACATTAACAAAACTTTAGGAGTCAATACAATGTTGTTTTTTTCTATCATTAAAAAGCCTGTCACTAACCTACAGTCAAAATAGTGATCCATTTTGCAATTGCATTTTTGTCAATATTATTGATTTATGTTCCTTATTACAGCATTTACATAGGGTTCAGTGGGCACGATTAAATGCATTCCATTTTTAACAGGATGTTTTTTATATAATTAATTTCACTACATTAATGCATTAAACTGACAGCTCTAATCATAATGTATAAAATGCACAGAAAGAGGGAGATGGAGAGAGACGAATGGAGATCAGATAGCGACAGACAGACACTTGCTGTGGTTTAAATTGTTTCATTAACAGCTTCTCTCTCTTCCCTAGTAGCTCGGCTGGGGAAACCTTCCACCACAGGGAATCTTTATTATATTTTACTCGTCGCTATATTAAATGTCATGTTTTGCATAGGGCAGAGTGTGCCCCTGGCTCTTAAATCGGCTCGGAGGCAGCAGGGTGCGCGGGGGACACTGATTCCTGACCAGACCAAAGCTGTTCCTGTTTTAATTAGTTCCATCCTCTCGCTCGCTCGCAAACATCAAGTTTTACACAGTGAAGAGAACCTTTAACTCACTGCCTGAACGGGTTGAGAAAACTAATCACGACCAAGTCTTAAAGCAGTAGATTCACAGCCTCAAATGAACTTTTTGCCATGACAGCCAATGGTGGGTGAATTAAGGAAATTGACAGCCATAAATATTCACAAGTTTTGTGCATTACTTTTTACTAAAAACTCTTTTTTTTCTTTCTTTTTGCTGTTTTTTTACTCGTGACAGCCTGAACCAGTTTCTCTTGCTGAAAGATCAAAAGTTTGAGGTTGTTAAGATTTCTGAAAGCAGTGACCCTGTCTATGAAATCCCAGCTAAAGTCATTTTTTCATAATTCACTGTTTTTTACATAAAATTATTCTACATAATCTAAGGATCATTCTGTGAAAATATAACCTTGATATCTTTAATATTAACTGAGTAAGGAATGTCAAAGATTTGCTGAATTACGGGCTCAGAAAATCACGTTTTTGAAAAATTCCAATGTAAAGACAAGCTTATTGTTAAACTGCAGCACATTTGAACCATAATAATACAGATTATGGCCTATATACCATATGAAAGCTGAGATTCATCCTTTTTTTCAGTGATATATAATACACTTATTGGAGAATTCTTAAAGTTGTGTAAAATAGGTCTATTTATTATGATGCGCATGTGAAATATAATTACAATTCAAAATAACTGTTTTCTAAAATAATACATTTTAAAATGTAATGTATTCCTGTGATGGCAAAGCTGAATTTAACATTTATTACTTCAGTCTTCATTGTCACATGATCCTTCAGAAATCATTCTATGTCGGTTGTGCTCCTTAATATTATTATTTTTATTATTTTTTGGAAACAGTGATGCATTTTTCTGGATTCTTTGATAAACAGAAAGTTCAAAAGAACGTTATTTATTTGAAATAGATTTTTTTGTAACATTTTAAAGGCCTTTTTTATGGAAGCCCGTTTCTGCCACTGAATAAAAAATAAAAGAGGTAATTGCGACTTTTATCTCACAATTCTGACTTTTTTCTCAGAATTGTGAGATATAAACTCGCAATTCTGAGAAATAAAGTCAGAACTGCGAGATATAAACTCACAATTCTGACTTTTTTTCTCGCAGTTGCGAGTTTATATCACGCAATTCTGACTTTTTTCTCAGAATTGTGAGATATAAACTCGCAATTCTGAGAAATAAAGTCAGAACTGCGAGATATAAACTCACAATTCTGACTTTTTTTCTCGCAGTTGCGAGTTTATATCACGCAATTCTGACTTTTTTCTCAGAATTGTGAGATATAAACTCGCAATTCTGAGAACATATCAGTCTTATCCCCCCCTTAAAAATTTGACTTTAACTCGCAATTGCGAGTTTATATCACGCGATTCTGACTTTATAACTCGCAATTGCGAGAATCCGCCACTGAATAAATTTTTTTAAAAAAGGTTTACTTTTTTTCACAGAATTGCGAGATATAAACTCGCAATTGCGAGAATAAAAGTCAGAATTGCAAGTTTTTATCTCGCAATTGTGACTATATCTCACAATTCTGACTTTATAGCTCGCAATTGTGAGTTTATATCACGCAATTCTGTGAAAAAAAGTAAACCTTTTTTAAAAATGTTTATTCAGTGGTGGAAACGGACTTCCATACTTTTTAGATCAAGCACAATAACTAACAAGATAGCTATATTAGCATTCACATTAACTGACGATAATGTTCTGTTTATTGTAAGTGCAGTTTTCAGCTTTAAATACTCAGGCACTTTAAGGACTGTTGGATTCTGATTGGCTGTCATTCATCAGCTGGAAAACAAAAGTTCCAGCCATGTGATTCCAACAATATTATGTCATTATGATTGCAGTTGTATAAATTACACTAACTGCAAACATTAAAATGTATAAAAGTACATACCTTTTTATAAAAGGAAAGTATAAAAAATGTCATTGTCACATTGTATTGCTGACAGACAGAGAAATACCGATCTAGTATTTTATGCATAGTCTAGTATTTATAATATAGCCTTTAATCAAAATGCACCACATTCATGTAGTGTAACCATCGAGTAGTTTTTTTTAATAATGAATTATTAATTACTAATATCACTAAGGAGGGTCTGCAGGGGTCCTCTCTGTGAAATCATTTCCTGTTCGTCTTTTTATCTTTCATAAAACCCGCACTCTCAATGAATGGGACATCAGCCGATCAAAACCCCAGCCCCAATATTCTAATTACTCTTTAAATAATTTTTGCACCAAAATGTTTTTTTTGTCATTTTCATGGACTTATGTTCAAGTGTTGCATTTTTCGAATAAGTTTGGTTTTAGTTATTTGACACTGTAATAATGGGGTGTGGCTTATGATTGTGAGCTTGTGATTGGCTCTGCGGGAGTTTGTGTTGGACTTTGATACTGTGGCTTCACCTTACAATCACTACTGCACAGACTTTGGCTCCAAATGACGGCATCAGTGCAAAATTGGAAACTGAGATTTATACACCTGAAAGCTGAATTAATAAACTTTCCATTGAATATGGTTTGTTAGGATAGGACAATATTTGGCAGAGATACAAATATATAGTTCAGTCATGAAACTCTAGATGGCGCAGGCTGACAGGTTGTTAATGTAACTGATGATATTCAGAGAGTTAAACGACTTGGCACAAGGTGATTGATGAGTGATGAGCTTACAGCCTTGCATTTATGTGGCTGGCTAGCATTCACTTAAGATTCCTGCAGCGTGCTTTCAGAGTTTTTCTGAAACCCTCCACCTCCCTATCTCCACTTATATAGACCACTTATATAGATCTGCTAAGGGTTATTTTATATGCTATTTGTGCAGCAGCAGTATGTCTTAAATACTCACGGCACCGAATGTATTGGCAGTAGCAAGTTCCTGTACTTGCTTGCAGCAGCAGCAATAACCAACAGCAGCAGCAATTCAGCAACAGCAGCAGCATAGCAGATCTATTCCGTCAAGACCAAATACATTAACATTGTCATATCCATCACCATGCTAAAATCTTTAGAGAGTTGTCATGATTGAACTATTTGAAAATCTGGAATCTGAGGTTGCAAATTTTTTTAAATATTTAGAAAAACGCCTTTAAAGTTGTCCAAATGAAGTTTTTAGCAATGCATATTTCTAATCAAAAATGAAGGTAGGAAATTTACAAAATATCTTCATGGAACATGATCTTTACTTAATATCCTAATGATTTTTGGCATAAAAGAAAATTGGATAATTTTGACCCATACAATGTATTGTTGGCTATTGCTACAAATATACCTGTGCAACTTTTGTGGTCCAGGGTCACATTTTGGCTTCAATTTCCTACAGTGGAAGGAAATAGGTGCACATTGTCTGTCTTTTTTGCACATATGACTGGCACACCAAATTATGCCACTGTTTGTTTTGTTTCATTATTTTACTAAGGGTTTGTTCTTCTTAATGATATTGCAACAGTTGTATCACCCTCCCATTTTTGATGTCCAGTTAGCCCAATTGTACACTCTCTGAAACTACAATGGTGAAAGTTATTCCAAAAAAAGCTGGATGTTAAATCCCTGCAAAACATTTTCACTGCATTGTTGTGTCTGTTCGGCAAATCTTTCGCCATCTTTAATCAATAAACCCTCTCCTTTAGAATCCTACAGGGCTACTTTTGGAGAGTTATATTAAATGGATTGTAGTCGAAGCCCATTTGTGCTGATTATACAAAAGTGAGGTGGCAATTTCCCCCTTGGGAGCAAACACTGAGGGCAACAGAGCCATTATGACAACATGGTCCATTCCACCGCCCCGCGCGTCCCTGGGAGCCTCGTTACGGGACAAAGCAACAATCAAAACAACCGTAACACATTAGAGGCCTCAGAAAGCCTGCTTGCAGGTGGAGCGCGGAGGAAAAAAACGAACGAGCCGTACTGAGCGTCGTAAACTTTTAAAAGGTCAAAGAGTCTGAATGATCGCTCATTAGAGAGAGCTTGATGTTCTTTCCTCGCTCTTTGTATTTTCACTCTCTAAACCATTACTTTTGCTACCACCCTAGCTCTTACACTCTGCATGCAATGTGGCGTCAGAGAATCATTACAATCACCTAATCATTACGCTGGCTCTGCGCCCTTGCAGGAGTGTGTTTGATTAAACATGTGCTTCAGTCTGAGCATCTTTGATTAGCTAGACAGAAAGACAGAGGGCGAAAGATGCCGACAGACAGGAGAGAGAGAGTGCGAGACAGTGAAAGACAGGACTTGAGACAATTAAAGGGGGAAAAAGCAAGCGGAGACAGATAAGAGAAAGACGTTCCTAAGTCACTGCTGCAGTTAGAAAGTGTGTTGCTATAGAAACCAGTTGCGGGCTGTAAGGTGAAGGAGGGCACTGCGGTGAACACTGTACACTTACTTCATGTAAGAGCTAAAGACACCTTTTACTTCATGACTATGCATGCGTGTGGGTCAGGTTTCATTATATGATCGTTATTCATAATTGTTAGTTAGTTCTCTGGATATTGCAATCAGAGTTGTTCTGATTTACAGAAATTTCATTTATAAACTTGTGTGTCTGCAACTGCATGCCATAAAATTTATGTATGTAGGCTTCATATTTAGCGGAGAACTGCTACTGAATTAATTTGCTGCTTTATGCATCAGACAATCAAGGAAATCACACTGTCCTTCTCAGCCACAGGAAAAACAAAACTGTTGAATTTTGAATAAATTATATAGAGGAACTGTGCAATGCGACAGTACTCAAACACTCCCATTATAATCAGCAAAGCTGTGACCGCAGCTCTTCATGTGTGTGTGTTTCTGTATAAACGCAGTTCGTACATTATATAGTCACCACAAAAGTACTTGGACACTTAAAGTCTCACTTAAAATGATTAATGCAAATAAGGATGTTTTTACTTAAGTGGCAAGATACTATTGTAGTAACTGTGTATTACATATAATAAAAAAGGATAGTTTGTCCAAAATAATTTAAATATGACCATACCATTGAAAAGATAAAATGTAATTTATTCCTGTGATGCAAAGCTGAATTTTCAGCATCCCCTCCAGTCTTCAGTGTCACATGATCCTTCAGAAATCATTCTAATATGCTGAATTGGTGCTCAAAAACATATTTTTAGGATTCTTTAATGGATTGAAAGTTAAAAAGTACAGTATTTTAAATAGAAATCTTCTGTAATGTTAGAAATGTCTTTATTATCAATTATGATCCATTTAAAACATCATTAAAGACTAAAAAGTATAAATTTCTTACAAACAAACAAGCAAAAAATAAAACAAGCTGACTCAGACTTTTGAATGTGTTCTTTTTTTCTATGAAAAATAAAGTAGAGTTAACTGGTAGAATGTCCAGGCTGTTTGGTTCTATATAATAATAGATAATAAATATGGCTATCCATGTCAAAAAGATAAAAGTTACATCTTGCAAAATAATTTGACAAAGAATTAAAGTTTTATGAGAGAATAAAGAAATAAATAGTACATCAAAAAAGAATTTTATTTAAAAAATAATTAAACTTTAATTAAATAAATAAAAGATTATTGAATAGGTAACACATTTTTAAATACAATTCAGTTTATTTGTTAGTTTTCACAAAAAAAAAAAGAAAAAAAGAAAAGAAAACCTCAAAAACCTATTTTATGAGGATCACAAAAACAAGGAAATAATAATAATAATGCGTGTCCTCTTGGGGCTTCCATATGTTCTGCCATGATTCCTGTCAACTTGAAATCTCTGTGCTGTTTGCGAATTAATACTCTTGTGAAATAACAAATAAAAATAAAATTTTACAGATCTGTTTCAAACTGAAAAAACTACGCACATGTGGATAGACTCCTGTTTAAACACTGTCTGTTCATTTAGCTTTAACATTCCTGACTTATTCCCATAACTTTTGGATTTTGTTTTCAGCTGCACAGTGATTGTCATCAGAAGCATGTGACTGTGCATGCGTGAAACCTTTGCCACATGTCTGAGTGATTTGTGTGTTTACACTCACCGTGTGATGCAAAGCACTACGAGGCAGATAATGGCCACTTGCAGAGCCCCAATGATGGATGCGATTAGAACGTAACGCAGCTTTACCGAACCAGGTACCACGTACATCACGTTATAGTCCTTCCTGTCACACTGCGGACCAATGAAGCCCGAATGACAACTGAAAAACACACACGGGCGAGAAAAAACAGTGTTAGATTTTAAAGCAAAGGAAAGATGGGGAGACCATAATCAATAACTACTTTCAGCAGGTGATGATAGAGAGCAGTGTGAATAATCACAAGGCAGTAGGATGTTGATGCCATTCCAAAAAATTTAATTTTTTTATAAAAAAATGTTGATGCCACTGTTTGTGGATAATTAATAGGCAGTCAGTGTTTATAGGTGCAAAAAAACAGTGGAAGTGTGTGTGTGTGTGTGGGAGTGAGTGTGCAGCGGGGAGCTGGTGCACACTGGGAAAAACATAGTCTTGTTTAATTAGAGCCTCGACCTCTCAGAGGAGGCGGTTAAAGGGACACCTGCCAGCCGACACACACACACACACACACACATGCACAGCTGGTAGGAATGAGTCATCTTTCAGAGGGAGGCACACACACACACAATTTCTCTTCTTCTCTTTCCTTCACACTTTTTCTTGCACGTCTTTCATCACTTCTCATCTTCTCCCATTTCTCGTTCTCTCCCCTGCTTTTGTCTTCTCAGTGCTTCTCTAAAATCAATCTCACACTGTCCTTTAAAGAGTCTGTGGGCGTGTGGGTGAGGGAGAAGGAAGAGTTTGATATGTTGTCTGTGTCGTGTGGTGCGGTTACCTGCAGGTGGGGGGCGAGAGGTTGCTAGGATACTCGCACTCTCCATGGACACAGTAGTTCTTGTAACGCTCCGGACACGGGATGTAAAGACCCCATGGTACCTCGCTCACCTGGTCTCTCTCCTCTAAACACACCCCGAACAAGAGAGAGAGAGGGGGAGACTGTAATTCTACATTCCACAAATTTATGTTGTCAGATTAGTCATTGTGAAGGGTCAGTTTGTGATGAAATCATGAAAGTGGCATAAAATAGTGTACAAAGTGTCATAACGTAAAAAAAAAAATCCACAGAACCACTGCAAACATCACGAGTGGTTTGCACAGTGGTAAATTAAGGTATTTGTTTGCAGTCTATCAGCCAATTTGGCAAGTGACTTGCTCGAATTATATTCTAACAACAACTCGCTCTTGTCGAAGCAACACATTTGATTATGTTTTTGAGAAATAACTTTTTGCTTCAAGGGGTCATAAAACAAGAGACTCAAAAAGTTCTTGATATTTACATTTAAGAGGTTTCTCTGCAATAAAAACATACTGCCCCAGTTCAACATGTGAATTATTATTTTCTACACTTCTAAAATGCCAGGATTTGAAATCTGGAGAATTGTGACATCACAATCTCCCCACGACACGTCCCGTAACATGCGTCATCGTCGTATGTAATCAAGATTTGTTCTGAACAAGTCATGTCTCTCTCCATTAATCACAAGTGTTACAGTGCTGTTAGGTAAAGACCTTTTTTGGCACAAAAAGCTTTGCAAACTTTATAAACTAACCTTAAGAAACATAATCTGAAATAGGGTTTAAATTCATTTAAATTAGAGTACTCGATTATAAAACAAATCCCCAGACGGCATTTTACCCATGTCAATTAAGTGCGTTCCATCTCACCAGATGTGAGAATCCATGAAAAGCATCATTAGACCGTTTTCTAAGGCTGCGATCAAATTAAATAAATAAATGCAAGTTATTTATAGGTTACGTGTATCTCAGAGTGTCTCCGTTCACAGTAAATGCTGCTCCACACAAACTGTTCTCATTTACATGCGCGAACCATCTCAAACTCCATCATTTCATACTGGATATTAAAATATTCACCTGGGAATGCAATCTGCACCATTTCATCAGATCCATAAGGTAAAACATATATAAACCTATGCTAATACAGGAGAATACATCATTATCTTTCTAAATATGCTAACTGTTCATCGCTATTTCAAAATAAATGTTTTAACCCTCGGTCTGAGTTTGCATGTTTTGATGTCCAGCATTTATATCATAAAGAATTGGCCAAATACAGTATTAAAGATAAATTTCAAATCATTTTACAGTCTATCGTTTGCTTAAGTCTGTTTTTATTACCACCAAAAATGATCAAATTACTCAATTAATCATTAGAATAATCAACCGATTACTCGATTGACAAAATAATCATTAGTGACAGTAATTGCATTTCATGACTATCATGACCTGTCATCAGTGTAATGTGTAAGGGCTCAGCTCACAGTTGTTCTTTGTCGCAAATGGTTTACTGTTGTTTATGCATCAGTGAATCAAGCCAGTGATAAACAATCAACTTCACACTGTTATTAGTAGTGTGAAAACCATCTGTTATCTATATTGTGATTATTTGAGCGATCAAAGTTAGTCCTCTTTGTAATCACTGGAGCAGTCAATTTTGTGCAGCAGCAGTATGTCTTAAATACTCACGGCACCGAATGTATTGGCAGTAGCAAGTTCCTGTACTTGCTTGCAGCAGCAGCAATAACCAACAGCAGCAGCAATTCAGCAACAGCAGCAGCATAGCAGATCTATTCCGTCAAGACCAAATACATTAACATTGTCATATCCATCACCATGCTAAAATCTTTAGAGAGTTGTCATGATTGAACTATTTGAAAATCTGGAATCTGAGGTTGCAAATTTTTTTAAATATTTAGAAAAACGCCTTTAAAGTTGTCCAAATGAAGTTTTTAGCAATGCATATTTCTAATCAAAAATGAAGGTAGGAAATTTACAAAATATCTTCATGGAACATGATCTTTACTTAATATCCTAATGATTTTTGGCATAAAAGAAAATTGGATAATTTTGACCCATACAATGTATTGTTGGCTATTGCTACAAATATACCTGTGCAACTTTTGTGGTCCAGGGTCACATTTTGGCTTCAATTTCCTACAGTGGAAGGAAATAGGTGCACATTGTCTGTCTTTTTTGCACATATGACTGGCACACCAAATTATGCCACTGTTTGTTTTGTTTCATTATTTTACTAAGGGTTTGTTCTTCTTAATGATATTGCAACAGTTGTATCACCCTCCCATTTTTGATGTCCAGTTAGCCCAATTGTACACTCTCTGAAACTACAATGGTGAAAGTTATTCCAAAAAAAGCTGGATGTTAAATCCCTGCAAAACATTTTCACTGCATTGTTGTGTCTGTTCGGCAAATCTTTCGCCATCTTTAATCAATAAACCCTCTCCTTTAGAATCCTACAGGGCTACTTTTGGAGAGTTATATTAAATGGATTGTAGTCGAAGCCCATTTGTGCTGATTATACAAAAGTGAGGTGGCAATTTCCCCCTTGGGAGCAAACACTGAGGGCAACAGAGCCATTATGACAACATGGTCCATTCCACCGCCCCGCGCGTCCCTGGGAGCCTCGTTACGGGACAAAGCAACAATCAAAACAACCGTAACACATTAGAGGCCTCAGAAAGCCTGCTTGCAGGTGGAGCGCGGAGGAAAAAAACGAACGAGCCGTACTGAGCGTCGTAAACTTTTAAAAGGTCAAAGAGTCTGAATGATCGCTCATTAGAGAGAGCTTGATGTTCTTTCCTCGCTCTTTGTATTTTCACTCTCTAAACCATTACTTTTGCTACCACCCTAGCTCTTACACTCTGCATGCAATGTGGCGTCAGAGAATCATTACAATCACCTAATCATTACGCTGGCTCTGCGCCCTTGCAGGAGTGTGTTTGATTAAACATGTGCTTCAGTCTGAGCATCTTTGATTAGCTAGACAGAAAGACAGAGGGCGAAAGATGCCGACAGACAGGAGAGAGAGAGTGCGAGACAGTGAAAGACAGGACTTGAGACAATTAAAGGGGGAAAAAGCAAGCGGAGACAGATAAGAGAAAGACGTTCCTAAGTCACTGCTGCAGTTAGAAAGTGTGTTGCTATAGAAACCAGTTGCGGGCTGTAAGGTGAAGGAGGGCACTGCGGTGAACACTGTACACTTACTTCATGTAAGAGCTAAAGACACCTTTTACTTCATGACTATGCATGCGTGTGGGTCAGGTTTCATTATATGATCGTTATTCATAATTGTTAGTTAGTTCTCTGGATATTGCAATCAGAGTTGTTCTGATTTACAGAAATTTCATTTATAAACTTGTGTGTCTGCAACTGCATGCCATAAAATTTATGTATGTAGGCTTCATATTTAGCGGAGAACTGCTACTGAATTAATTTGCTGCTTTATGCATCAGACAATCAAGGAAATCACACTGTCCTTCTCAGCCACAGGAAAAACAAAACTGTTGAATTTTGAATAAATTATATAGAGGAACTGTGCAATGCGACAGTACTCAAACACTCCCATTATAATCAGCAAAGCTGTGACCGCAGCTCTTCATGTGTGTGTGTTTCTGTATAAACGCAGTTCGTACATTATATAGTCACCACAAAAGTACTTGGACACTTAAAGTCTCACTTAAAATGATTAATGCAAATAAGGATGTTTTTACTTAAGTGGCAAGATACTATTGTAGTAACTGTGTATTACATATAATAAAAAAGGATAGTTTGTCCAAAATAATTTAAATATGACCATACCATTGAAAAGATAAAATGTAATTTATTCCTGTGATGCAAAGCTGAATTTTCAGCATCCCCTCCAGTCTTCAGTGTCACATGATCCTTCAGAAATCATTCTAATATGCTGAATTGGTGCTCAAAAACATATTTTTAGGATTCTTTAATGGATTGAAAGTTAAAAAGTACAGTATTTTAAATAGAAATCTTCTGTAATGTTAGAAATGTCTTTATTATCAATTATGATCCATTTAAAACATCATTAAAGACTAAAAAGTATAAATTTCTTACAAACAAACAAGCAAAAAATAAAACAAGCTGACTCAGACTTTTGAATGTGTTCTTTTTTTCTATGAAAAATAAAGTAGAGTTAACTGGTAGAATGTCCAGGCTGTTTGGTTCTATATAATAATAGATAATAAATATGGCTATCCATGTCAAAAAGATAAAAGTTACATCTTGCAAAATAATTTGACAAAGAATTAAAGTTTTATGAGAGAATAAAGAAATAAATAGTACATCAAAAAAGAATTTTATTTAAAAAATAATTAAACTTTAATTAAATAAATAAAAGATTATTGAATAGGTAACACATTTTTAAATACAATTCAGTTTATTTGTTAGTTTTCACAAAAAAAAAAAGAAAAAAAGAAAAGAAAACCTCAAAAACCTATTTTATGAGGATCACAAAAACAAGGAAATAATAATAATAATGCGTGTCCTCTTGGGGCTTCCATATGTTCTGCCATGATTCCTGTCAACTTGAAATCTCTGTGCTGTTTGCGAATTAATACTCTTGTGAAATAACAAATAAAAATAAAATTTTACAGATCTGTTTCAAACTGAAAAAACTACGCACATGTGGATAGACTCCTGTTTAAACACTGTCTGTTCATTTAGCTTTAACATTCCTGACTTATTCCCATAACTTTTGGATTTTGTTTTCAGCTGCACAGTGATTGTCATCAGAAGCATGTGACTGTGCATGCGTGAAACCTTTGCCACATGTCTGAGTGATTTGTGTGTTTACACTCACCGTGTGATGCAAAGCACTACGAGGCAGATAATGGCCACTTGCAGAGCCCCAATGATGGATGCGATTAGAACGTAACGCAGCTTTACCGAACCAGGTACCACGTACATCACGTTATAGTCCTTCCTGTCACACTGCGGACCAATGAAGCCCGAATGACAACTGAAAAACACACACGGGCGAGAAAAAACAGTGTTAGATTTTAAAGCAAAGGAAAGATGGGGAGACCATAATCAATAACTACTTTCAGCAGGTGATGATAGAGAGCAGTGTGAATAATCACAAGGCAGTAGGATGTTGATGCCATTCCAAAAAATTTAATTTTTTTATAAAAAAATGTTGATGCCACTGTTTGTGGATAATTAATAGGCAGTCAGTGTTTATAGGTGCAAAAAAACAGTGGAAGTGTGTGTGTGTGTGTGGGAGTGAGTGTGCAGCGGGGAGCTGGTGCACACTGGGAAAAACATAGTCTTGTTTAATTAGAGCCTCGACCTCTCAGAGGAGGCGGTTAAAGGGACACCTGCCAGCCGACACACACACACACACACACATGCACAGCTGGTAGGAATGAGTCATCTTTCAGAGGGAGGCACACACACACACAATTTCTCTTCTTCTCTTTCCTTCACACTTTTTCTTGCACGTCTTTCATCACTTCTCATCTTCTCCCATTTCTCGTTCTCTCCCCTGCTTTTGTCTTCTCAGTGCTTCTCTAAAATCAATCTCACACTGTCCTTTAAAGAGTCTGTGGGCGTGTGGGTGAGGGAGAAGGAAGAGTTTGATATGTTGTCTGTGTCGTGTGGTGCGGTTACCTGCAGGTGGGGGGCGAGAGGTTGCTAGGATACTCGCACTCTCCATGGACACAGTAGTTCTTGTAACGCTCCGGACACGGGATGTAAAGACCCCATGGTACCTCGCTCACCTGGTCTCTCTCCTCTAAACACACCCCGAACAAGAGAGAGAGAGGGGGAGACTGTAATTCTACATTCCACAAATTTATGTTGTCAGATTAGTCATTGTGAAGGGTCAGTTTGTGATGAAATCATGAAAGTGGCATAAAATAGTGTACAAAGTGTCATAACGTAAAAAAAAAAATCCACAGAACCACTGCAAACATCACGAGTGGTTTGCACAGTGGTAAATTAAGGTATTTGTTTGCAGTCTATCAGCCAATTTGGCAAGTGACTTGCTCGAATTATATTCTAACAACAACTCGCTCTTGTCGAAGCAACACATTTGATTATGTTTTTGAGAAATAACTTTTTGCTTCAAGGGGTCATAAAACAAGAGACTCAAAAAGTTCTTGATATTTACATTTAAGAGGTTTCTCTGCAATAAAAACATACTGCCCCAGTTCAACATGTGAATTATTATTTTCTACACTTCTAAAATGCCAGGATTTGAAATCTGGAGAATTGTGACATCACAATCTCCCCACGACACGTCCCGTAACATGCGTCATCGTCGTATGTAATCAAGATTTGTTCTGAACAAGTCATGTCTCTCTCCATTAATCACAAGTGTTACAGTGCTGTTAGGTAAAGACCTTTTTTGGCACAAAAAGCTTTGCAAACTTTATAAACTAACCTTAAGAAACATAATCTGAAATAGGGTTTAAATTCATTTAAATTAGAGTACTCGATTATAAAACAAATCCCCAGACGGCATTTTACCCATGTCAATTAAGTGCGTTCCATCTCACCAGATGTGAGAATCCATGAAAAGCATCATTAGACCGTTTTCTAAGGCTGCGATCAAATTAAATAAATAAATGCAAGTTATTTATAGGTTACGTGTATCTCAGAGTGTCTCCGTTCACAGTAAATGCTGCTCCACACAAACTGTTCTCATTTACATGCGCGAACCATCTCAAACTCCATCATTTCATACTGGATATTAAAATATTCACCTGGGAATGCAATCTGCACCATTTCATCAGATCCATAAGGTAAAACATATATAAACCTATGCTAATACAGGAGAATACATCATTATCTTTCTAAATATGCTAACTGTTCATCGCTATTTCAAAATAAATGTTTTAACCCTCGGTCTGAGTTTGCATGTTTTGATGTCCAGCATTTATATCATAAAGAATTGGCCAAATACAGTATTAAAGATAAATTTCAAATCATTTTACAGTCTATCGTTTGCTTAAGTCTGTTTTTATTACCACCAAAAATGATCAAATTACTCAATTAATCATTAGAATAATCAACCGATTACTCGATTGACAAAATAATCATTAGTGACAGTAATTGCATTTCATGACTATCATGACCTGTCATCAGTGTAATGTGTAAGGGCTCAGCTCACAGTTGTTCTTTGTCGCAAATGGTTTACTGTTGTTTATGCATCAGTGAATCAAGCCAGTGATAAACAATCAACTTCACACTGTTATTAGTAGTGTGAAAACCATCTGTTATCTATATTGTGATTATTTGAGCGATCAAAGTTAGTCCTCTTTGTAATCACTGGAGCAGTCAATTCAAGATCAGTGCGAGTATATCAGTGATTTGCATTTTTGCCAAAACTTCCGACATGATGACACAGTTTACACTGCTGAACGAGTCTCTTATTCTTTACTTCCAAAGGACTGTTCGAATCAGAGGCTAAATTCAGGGTAGAAAATTACCATTTGAATCTAAATTATGACCGACAGACTATACAGGTGCATCTCAATAAATTAGAATGTCGTGGAAAAGTTCATTTATTTCAGTAATTCAACTCAAATTGTGAAACTTGTGTATTAAATAAATTCAATGCACACAGACTGAAATAGTTTAAGTCTTTGGTTCTTTTAATTGTGATGATTTTGGCTCACATTTAACAAAAACCCACCAATTCACTATCTCAATCAATTAGAATATAGTAACATGCCAATCAGCTAATCAACTCAAAACACCTACAAAGGCTTCCTGAGCCTTCAAAATGGTCTCTCAGTTTGGTTCACTAGGCTACACAATCATGGGGAAGACTGCTGATCTGACAGTTGTCCAGAAGACAATCATTGACACCCTTCACAAGGAGGGTAAACCACAAACATTCATTGCCAAAGAAGCTGGCTGTTCACAGAGTGCTGTATCCAAGCATGTTAACAGAAAGTTGAGTGGAAGGAAAAAGTGTGGAAGAAAAAGATGCACAACCAACCGAGAGAACCGCAGCCTTATGAGGATTGTCAAGCAAAATTGATTCAAGAATTTGAGTGAACTTCACAAGGAATGGACTGAGGCTGGGGTCAAGGCATCAAGAGCCACCACACACAGACATGTCAAGGAATTTGGCTACAGTTGTCGTATTCCTCGTTAAGCCACTCCTGAACCACAGACAACGTCAGAGGCATCTTACCTGGGCTAAGAAGAAGAAGAACTGGACTGTTGCCCAGTGGTCCAAAGTCCTCTTTTCAGATGAGAGCAAGTTTTGTATTTCATTTGGAAACCAAGGTCCTAGAGTCTGGAGGAAGGGTGGAGAAGCTCATAGCCCAAGTTGCTTGAAGTCCAGTGTTAAGTTTCCACAGTCTGTGATGATTTAGGGTGCAATGTC